CATATTGGAAAAGTTATTAATCAGTGAATAATAGGTTATAGTGAAAAAATATACACTGATTGGTAAATGTGTTGTCATTGGAAAAATTTAGGAGCTACTTTAAGTAGTAGCAACAGTAGGTTGGACAGTGAAAGTACTGAGCCGAAAAAAATGGGAAACAAGTCGAATTTAGGGTTCTCAGCCTGCATTTTTTTTTTTTTCCTTAAATATGCTCTTTAGTATCTGATTTAAAAGACCTTGTGCCCCATTTTTGACATTTCATTTAACCACTCTACTTGGTATGTTCTAAAGAATCCCATGTCTCCATTATTAATGAAACAGGAACTGCAGTGTTTGCTGTGTGTGGTGCTTTCTCTTTGTGCTAAAGTCCAGGAGGAATGTCTCGTATGATGAAGTTAACATTTGGGTAACATCTAGTTCATCATTAAATGCGATTTATTTTAGCTGGGTATCTTTGTAAATTTGGACTCAAGTCACCTGTTGAAGTCTCCCCAAGAGGTTTCTGTCTCACCACCTCCTCTTGCTGTCGTTGGCTGTGGAGTAAGATTGAACAGCGCTGGATGTGCTCCAGAGTCTGGAGCGCTAAGATCCTGTTTTCACGCAGTGCCCTCATAGCCTTCCTCATGGCAAAGTGGAGCTCATGCTGACAAGAGTTAGCTGCTGTACCTTGTGCTGCCTCAACTGTGGGAACCTTTTGGCCTTCCTAGGGCTCCCTTGCATTTTCTGGATTTTTCATGAGAAGCGAGCTCTCTGTGCCTGTACTCGTCCTGTGGTTGGTTTTGTTCCTCATACTCATCTTGGACTATCTGTGCTGTAGCTCTGGTCACTGCTGTAAGTTCAACTTCCTCGATATAAGGAGTGTTTCCAATTTGATGATAAATGGTTGTGATTATGGTTTGTGGGATGGATTCTGATCTCCATTTGTGTTCTGCATATGGAACTCTCTCTTTTCCCTGGTTCTGATTGTGGCCAGCTGATTCTAGGTTCAGGTGGAAGCCCCCAGAGTTCCACAGCTGCCTTGGACTTGGGACAGCTGCCAAGATGCCTCTGTCGAGATTGGCATCAGAAACTGATAAACCTCTGAAGAATGTACCCAGCAACATGAGCTGGGAAGATGGGCCTGAGTCAGAGTGAGTGAGGGTTTGGGGCGGATACGCTCCAGAAGGCGCCTCGGCTTTAGGATCGGTCAGCCCTTGACTCCCCCAACCCCTACCAACACCCTCGTGTATAACCTTCCGTATTTCTCACTGTACTCATAATTTGTATATACTGACTGTACCTTCCTTAGACCCAAGCAAGAAAGACCCTTGCCCTGGGCCCTGAGCTTTCGAGGACCCCACTCTGTCCCTCCTCTGGCTGTGTCCCTCTCTATGGGGTAAGGAGTCCATGGGGCTAAGAGGACATGGCCACAAAGCCAACTACCCTCTCCTCTCATGCTCCGAGTACTCAGGACCCTAGGATTCCTTGCCAAAATCACCTTGAACCTGATTCTGGGGTCTGTGTGGGCCTGTCCTGCAGCTTGTCATTTGAGAGGGCAGCCCTCCATAGGCCTGAGGTGACAAGGAGCAGTGGATGTGAGGGATGGAAGTGCGGCTTGGATGTTTGCTGGGGAATTTACACACATACCAGGAGCCCCTTGAGCAGGGCAGAGAGGGTGGCTGGGATGAGTATAGAGGCGTGGAGGCTAGCTCTCCCCATATTGCCAAATTCTGGCACTGATTTATTTTATTTTATTTTTTGGTTTTTGTGATTTGGGTGAAAGTTTACAAAGCAAATTCACGTTACATACAGCAGTTCATACGCTTTGTCTCATGATACTGACTGCAATTTCCCACAATGTAACAGCTTCCCTCCCATCTCCTCCCCATAGTTACCTCTTCCGCGTCCTTCCCTCCATGCACTCCTGCACTCTGAGCTGTCTCCCTGTGTGTACACAATCCTTCTATTCTCATAGGATTGATCTCTCCAAGGAGTGTATCTACCTAATGTAAAGGTTCAGCTCATATGCCTTTTGTTTGGCTGGAAGCCACAGGAATGGGTTCAATTCCAGACCTGAAGGACAGCTAGGGGCCATAGTCACAGTGGTTCTGTCAGGCTCTATCAGACCAGCAAATCTTGTCCATTTTTTTTTTTGTTGTTAATTTTGAGTTTTGTTCCACATTGTTCTCCCACTCTATCCAGGATCTCCTACAGTGATCCCCCTCTGAGTGGTTGGCAGTGGTAGCTGGGCACCATCTAGTGCTGGTCTCATAGTCGTATAGGCTGAGAATCACATGGTGTACCAGTCACTTGGACTGATCATCGTTTCCATGTGTCTTTGGTTTTCTTCACTCTTCTTGGCTCTGGACGAGGAGACACCCATTGTTGCATCTAAATGGCCACTTGCAAGCTTTTAAGATCCCAGTCTCTCCTCTCCAAAGTAGGATGTGAAACAATGTTTTGTGTAGTATGCTATGCCAATTGAGCTTGATGTCCCCTGTGACCATGGTCCCGAGCCCACAGGTTCAACTACTCACTCCCTCTGTGTAGCTGGCTATGGCCAAGAAGCGACTACAACCTTGTCCCTTGTCAGCTTTACTATATGGGAATTCTTACAGAGCATACAAATACACTTGTAAAAGCATTGTCTTCCAACCCTATTCATGGTCTTGGACACACTCCCCCCTGCATAGACATACCTAATAGTTCAGTCTGTCCACCTGTCCATCCACCTGTATATCAATGTTTGCCTTCACTGACAACTCAGTACTGTATGTGGAGTAGGGTTCATCTTTGTTGTCTGTACTTCCCATGCACCTCTCTGTCTTCTTCCTCAGTGCCATCGTGTTGATCACTCATATTTGGTACGTTGCCCTTCACCCAAATCAATACTTGTCTCTACCTATCTAATAGTCATTCCCCTCTCTTCCCCTCTCACCCCTTATTAGTAACCAAAACTAATATAAGATCTGAATGAAAACAGTAAATGAGACAAATGGAGCTGTGGACTGTTGGCTATCCTGACATCATGGCCAGTTTGAGTATTTACAGGTGGTGTAAGGACTTGGGGAGTAACCTAAAAATTGGCCCTATTCGCCAAGGGCTACATGGACAACTACACTGGTGGCTAATGAATAGAAAGGAAAACAGCAAATAAGGAGGCAAACTGAGCTATAGACTTCCAGCTGTCCTGAGGGCACAGCCATTTCGAATATTTACAAGCAGAGCAGCCATTTTGGATATTTAAAGTGGCAGTGTTCTGATCCTAGTGACCTAAGAATAGGCTCCGCTTGCTGAGGACAGCACGGGCAACCACACTAGAGGCTGATGACTGGAAAGGTGTGATATTCCTCGTGTTACTCTTATACTCCACACCCTCTTGGTAAACAGAGGTGCAGCCATCCCCCATGTCCACCTACCTAGACACAAGAATTGCATCTCAGTCTCTCTGCTCTGATGAAGCCTGGGTGCCCTGCCCCATCCCATACTCCAGACTTGTTTTTGTCTGTGTTTAAATTATTTTTTCTTCCTTTTAATTTTCGTTCTTTTTTACTTTCCTGGGTTCTAGTTTCCTCCCCCTCCCTACTCTTTTCCTGGTTACCAACTTTTTTTCTTTTGATTCTTCCCATCACTTTTTTTCTGTTGGCAGTTTTCTCATTTTTTTTTCTTTATTATTATTTTACTCTTTTCTCTTATTCCCCATCCCCCTGATATTGTGGGTTTTTCCCCCTTTTTCTATGTATATTTCTTTTGTCTTTTTAAAGTATTTTTAATTTATTACCTTTTTTTGTGTGTGTCTGTGTGATTGTTCCTGCGTGTTTATGTGGTTTGTGTTTTTTGTCCTCTAGTTTTTACTTTTTTGGTGTTTTCTTTCCCCCATTGTTGTTTTTGTCTGAGTGGGAGATAACAACCATGCCCATATGACCCAACTGCACCTGCACCTCCTGCAGCCCCACCTACTGAGTGAAGGTGACCACTTCTGCACTGACTAGCCAACAATAGACAACAGCCAATACAAGCCCGACTCACCCATAACTGCTTTTCACAAACAGCTAATGGAGATCTGTGTACCCACTCTCATTCTCTGTCACACCCACCAGGAGACAGGTGGTATGTAACTGCTGCCAACTAGTGAATAGAGGAGCATAGTACCCTGCTTACTCAGAGACAGCAAGACAAAGAAAACAAAAATCTTGGGCAAGTCACACCAGCATATAACCACCGATTAAATATAAATACAATGACATCACAATGTCTCAGAGACACTAGATAATTACAGTCCACACAACGAAGCAAGATAAAGTAGTGGAAACAAGGAACCAGGATACAGGCCCAGAAAACATCGCTGAGAAAGCAGCAGCATTGTAACTCCCTGATAAAGAATTCAAAAGAATTATATTTAGGTACCTTCAATGAATTGAGAGAGAGATCAAAGAAAATGCTGACAAAATTAAAGAAAACTCTAGAACAATTTGGGCAGACAATATAAGAACAAAATGACAAAAAAATTAGAAGTGGTACAGAATCTACAGGTAGAAATCCAGAAGATTAATACTAAAATTTCAGAAATAGATAATACATTGAACAGGCAGAGGAGTAGAATTGAATCAGTGGAAGAGAGAATTAGTGATATTGAAGAAAAATACCTCAATACTACTTTGTTAAGGAATCAATAAAAAAAAAAAAATGAAGAAAGCCTAAGATTCACATGGGATGCTATCAAAAGGAGTAACTTTGGTGTAATTGGAATTCCAGAACAGGAAGAGACAGATGAAACCACAGAGAAAATTGTCAAAGATTTGTTGGAAGATAATTTCCCTGATGAAAGATGAGAATATATCCTTTAAGAAGTTCAGCAAACCCCAAATAGGATAGACTCCAGAAGAAAATCACCATGACATATAATCAGACTCACCAAAAATCAAAGACAAAAAAGAACCCTGAAAGCAGCACAGGAAAAACGAAAAGTTACCTACAAAGGGCAACCAATAAGACTAAGCTCAGATTTCTTGTCAGAAACCATGCAGGTGAGAAGGCTGGTATATATAAAGTCCTGAAAGAAAAAAAATTTCCAAGAATTACATACCCAACAAAATTGTCCCTCAAATATGATGGTGAAATTAGGACATTTCCAGATAAGCAGAAATTAAGGGAATTTATTGAAAGCAGACCAACCTTAGATGTTAAAGGGAGTTCTTGTGACAGAGAACCGACAACAGCAAACAACAACCAACGATTAATACACATGATGACATAACCCAGAAGCTAACAGAGTTATGGAAGTAGCCAAAGTAAATAAGCTTACAAGACTACACAGGGAACCAGAAACTTCAATTGGCAAATGAAGACAACTACAGGCCAAAAAGAGGGAGAAAATAGTGTAGTTACAGAACTTCTAAATGATGAGAAAGTGAAGACAATTGCAAGTTAGAATGGACTGTTCTAAACTTGGGAAGAAAATTATAAATAACAGGGTAACCTCAAAGAAAAATGATAAATTTTCACATCAAAATGACAGAATATTTAGCAAATGCTAAAACAGTAGCAATGAAGGAAATGATAACAATTCATAAGCAAAATGAACTCAGCACAGAAAATTACATGGAACAAAGAAATCAGGAACACCACTAAAAAACACATAGATGACAGCAACAAATTCATACTTGTCAACATTACACTGAATGTAAGTGGGTTAAATGCACCACTCAAGAGATGGGAGAGTTGCAGACTGGAGAAGAAAACATAGCTCATCAATATAATGTCTACAAGAAAGTCACCTTAGAGACAAGACAAATACGGACTAAAAATCAAAGGTTGGAAAAAGGTATATCAAGCAAATGGCAATCATAAAAGAGCAGGAGTGGCAATATTAATTTCTGATAAATTGACTTTAAGACCAAAACCACCATAAGAGACAAGGAAGGGCATATAATGATTGAAGGATTGATTGAACACGGGGACATAACCATAAAATCTATGCACCCAATGAAAGAGCCCCAAAATACATAAATCAGACTTTAAGAATTGAAAAGACAAATAAATGACTCCACAGTAATAGGAGACTTTAATACACCACTTTCAATCAAAGAACAACTGGAAAGAAACTCAGAAAAGTCACAGAAGAACTAAATAATCAACTTGACTTTATGGACATTTACAGAGCACTTCACTCAACAACAGCACAATATATATTCTTTTCCAGTGCACATGGAACATTATCTAGACCATATGTCAGGCCACAAAGCAAACCTCAATAAATTTGAAAACATTGAAATACTACTGTGGTGGTTATGGTTGTGTGTCACCTTGGCTGGGCTTGGTTGAATGGCTGGGCAGCTAGTGGTTGTTATTCCCCATGATGAGTCTGGCAGTCAGCTCCATGGTGGAATCTACCACAAGCAGCTGAGTAGCTGCTTTGGGTATGTGGTCTGCTTCCTGTATTTAAGAAACAGCTTTGGGAATGGTCTCTAGCTTATGGCATGCTTGGACCCTGCTTGTAACCATGTCATTGTTCAGCAGCCTGCCATGCTCTGCTGACCTTGGGACTTATAATGAACTTAAATTAGTGGCCTGGTGTGTGGTTTGGTAACATCAAGACTGTGCCTTTTTGCTTGTCAACCTTGGGGCTTCTCAGCCTCAGCAGCCAACAGCTATCTGAGTGAAGAAATGCCTCTAGCTCCAGTGGGGTGGGAGCAGGAGGCAGAGCTGGACTCCAAGGTTGAGGGGCTTTTACCCAGCCCCTAGAGCCTGGCACTTTGAACTTGGACTTAAAGTCTCCAAACTGTAAGAGAATAAACTCCTGTTTGATAAGGCCATCCCATTTGTGGTATATTCTTGTCAGAGTGGTACTAGGTAACTAGAACAACTGCAAAGAATTTTTCTCAGATCACAATGCTGTTAAATTAGAAATCAATAATAGGAAGATCAATGGAAAAAGAGCAAACACATGAAAACTGAATAACACTCTCCTTAAAAACAACTGGGTAAAAGAAGAAATAAAAAATGAACTTAAAAGAGTCCTTGAATCAATTGAGAATGAAAACACAGCATACCAAAATCTTTGGGACATGGCAAAAGCAGTGATCAGAGGGCAGTTTATAGCAATAA